ATGGACACTATACAAAGACAATCAATTGACCAAAATCTACGCAAACTTGCAGAAACCGCAGGTTTTGCCGATATCTACACACAAGACTATAGCGGATATTTTAAAGACATTAAAGATTATATATATCTAAACGGCGAAAAATACCGTCCCCAAGATATATCACCAATCAACATTTTTAGCTTTGTTACACTCAAGAATGAAATCCTTGATTTTCTAGGATGGCCCTACTACATCTTAGAAAAATTGACTATTTTATACGCAATGTTTAACTTTATTGGATTTCTTTTCTCACTCTTAAAAGGAATCTACAATACATGTGCTATACACACACAAGTAAACAGACAAGCAAGCGTAGCACGCATACTCTTTGCAGGATTTTTTGGAATTTTTTCCACATCTATCAACAAAATTCTTTTAGACGCACAAATAAAAGAATATAACACAAAAATAGCAACACGACAAAATACATACGACGAAGAACATAACAATGTCGACACACAGCCAACGGCACCACAATTACCACCCCTACCAAATAACCATCCACTATCCCTAGTCCCACGAAATTTTCGACATTTAGCAATCACACATAATCCAAATTTTCGACTCAATACATCGCAAAGTCCCGTCCAACATATAATAACACATCAATCACAAGATGATAATACTTATGAACAAATTATTGAACAGCCCCATACCACCGCTTTTCAATCTCAAAATAATAATTTTTTTAGCCCACGATGAGCCGCCAACTTGGATCACTACACCGATCAAATTCCCATCCAACCAATCTTACCTCTCCAATCCCAATCATACCACTTTTTGCTTTTCCGCCACCCGATTTTCCATCTAGCAATGTAACATCAGGCATGAATTCCGACACTAACTCACATATTTCAGTTTTATACTCCATCTCACAGCTAAATAACCCGAATATTGAAACCCCCGATGAATTTGCCGACTCAGAACCATCCCCATCCAATAATTTTCATAACCCTTCTAATTTTTCTCAACCTCCTTTTCCACCCATATTGTCCAATAACCCTGACCCAATCACTCCCACACCCTCTTATGCTTCCCAAGTTACCCCAACCTATTCCTCATACCATTCTGACCAATCATCTCATTCTCCAGACACCCCCCGAATCTCCCCAGAGCTAGATAATTTTATTACCCTCCAACAACAACCCTACCACCTTAACACCCCGACCATAAACCAAATCTCCTCCACTACAAATTCATCCAATCCCCCTACACCCTCTTCAAATTATACTGAATCATTAACACCATCATCCACATCCACTATATCTTCACTAAACACTAATAGAGCTTACCGCACTTTTAAAAGAAAATTCCCCAACCATCCTTTCCCAGCAAAACCAGGAACAGCCCGTGAATACATCAACCACCCCCAGCATACTAACACTAAAGAATTTTTAGCTATCACTTTACCCTCGTTTCCACAATACACCTTAAATACCCCTCACGACGCTAACGAAACACGCAACTTTGTAGATGAATACGTTTTAATGCCCACTCTCTCTTGGACCTCATACTATCATTTCACAAACCCTCTTTGCTTACCATTATCCAACACTTCCATCGATATAGAACGAAACAAAGACATGCTATATCAACTAACTACACCACTAACCGCTAGACAGTTTACTTACGTTGGATATAAAAAATCACTAAAAATACACACTGCACCTAGAGCTAATGAATATACACTAGAATACTACGATCACAACATCATCAGAGCTAACCAAGATCAATTCTTAGACGACGATCGCTTCGCTAATCCACAAATCACCGAGAAATTTTTCATCAAGACACCATATGTATTTACACTAAACATCTTCGACCGAAAGTTTGATCACATTATTTCAGAAGCACTAACAAACACACAAGCATACGAAAGTTTTAAAGAACGCTTCCAAATCTTTTCACTAACCTTTCATTTCCTTGCACCACACGAAAGAGATTTGCACTGCTCACATGATATTATGTTGCGCACTAAACAAACACATACATACAGTTACTATCGTTTCATCCAAAATCACTTTGACCTCCACACACCCTCTAGACAACCACACCATCGTTTTCAATTCATCAATTCAAAATACACTTCACCGTATTTCCTAAATTTCACATATTGTATTAAAGGCACTAACCTCCATGGTATTCTTCGTAATTATGACCCCATAACCCAATTGTACATTTTCTGCCCCATCACCAAGACCTTCAACGCCGAAGAATCCCGACCCTTCCTTATCCCGCACGAGTTTGTACAGCCTATAGAAATCCCAATTTTAGAATTCATCCACAACACTAAATTTAACCACAAATTATATAACTTAATCCAAAACACACCTTATGAGTTTGCTGTAGGCACTGAAGAACTAACCACTATTAAGGCACTTCAATTGCTTTGGCCACTGCTTCAGACTAAAAATATCATCCGCATTCTAGCTAAACTACTAACAACTTCAGAACTAATTCACGACATCTTCCCCCACGGTTTTTTCCCCGACGACTAACAGGTAAGTATGAATTAAGTGAATATTACTAACTAATTAAAATATTAAAAAACTCACCATACTTTATCCATGTTTTCTTTAGATTTTTAGCCTTCATCCGACAATCACCTACAAAAACCACAAAAGACAAATAAAAATCGCAAATTTCATCAAACAGATTTCAAAAATTCTATTAATCTCTTACACTTATAAATTAATAAATTTAATACCAATGCAGTAAATTCATCTATAATATTTTCCCCCAAAGCAGTAAATCTAATTATGATGAAAATTTGTATCTTAAAATTCCTCCATAATTAGCAGTAAATTTCCAAATTCTATGCAGTAAATTAATAAAATGCAATTGCAGTACTAACCTTTTAATATTTTCATTCATTCGCACAGAAATTCTATCCACACTCGCACAGCTCGCCCACGAAGAATTGTTTAAAATAATGAATTTCAGTTTCAAGTTTTCACACTCAACAACTCTAACATATAATAACATGTTTCAAACTTTCCTTTAACCCGGTTGGAAAGGAATCATATACTAAACAAAACTAACCAACGCAGCTTACTAAATACCACAAATCATAGAATAACAGCATGACTAAGAAAAGGAAACCAACGGTACCCAAACCGGATTAACCCAGTTTAAAACTGGATAATTTATTCTTTTGAGGACTATTATAAAGTCTAAGAAAGAAATAATAAAACACAAAAAAGTCGAAAGACAAACCCATACCACAAACAATTTGCTTTTTGAAAAAAGGACACAACCAACAAAACATAAGAAAGACCACAACAAACCCAACATAAAACGTTGTCACATAACAGGACCCCTCACAAAAACCGCATGAAATCATACTCCCACTCCTGGCCTAACCCACCAGGAAGGACGTCCTGAGCATGCTCTATAGCCGGCCTAACCCACCGTGCTACATCCACGCTTTGTGACCACACCTCTATTTTTAATAAGAGCTACTCAAGTGTGAGTAACTCTTCAAAATAACCGAACTAAAACAAAAAGCTTTTGTGAAAACAACTAACTAAAATCATTATTAAAAAATATTAAACTAATAAAAGTTTTATAAAATATAAAATCACATGATGCAATATATAGATCAGAATACAACACCAAGGACGAACATCAAAAGACAAGACGACCCCACTACACTCGAGAGAGAATGACCAACTACAATCGATATGCCGCTCACAACCACAACTCAAAGGATTTAGAGTACGACTTGACCTCGCAGAAAAGGACTTCATTGAACTAGACCAATGACCACCTCGATGTTCAAGTATACGTACAGATCCGAGTAACCAGGCATCCCCTCCACGCACAATCTCCACGCCATTCCCAAGCTAGATCAGACACAAAAGAAGTTCTCCACGAAGAACAGAAAAACCTGACATAGCCAACCATTCTGAAATCAGATTTGAGTTTGTTGCGAAGACTTAGTCGTTGTCACTAGAAGACACAACGTCTTATGTCTCTAACTCCAGCTTCCTGGAACTTCTTTAACAAAAAAGGAAACAGAAGAAATAAGATGTTCGCCAAACACCAACTTCCATCATCCATCCTTCGAATTGCAGAAGAACTATTCTAAAAAACTCTGTAAAACCCGGATGGGTGGAACCTGATCTAAACTATATTTTATGATTGGATAAATTAAATGTTTTACCAATGTAAAGTATTTAATATTAACCAATCATGATCCATCTAACTAACAACCCACTTATTTGTAAAGTGCTGAAGTTACTTGTAACTTCAGCACCAGAGAGATTTGAATTTAACTTAGAAATTAGTTGGACTCTCCCGAGCACTTCAGCAACCGCAATAAACCAGTATACCCTAGATCTATTGAGCCTAGCAGAGACTAGTTAAACAACCTGAGACTAGATAGTATAAGAGTAAGATTAGGATCGGTATTAGACTAAGAAGTTGCACGAATCTATCCGGCCGAAAATAAGATAGCGTGACGAGCAGACGGTGTACCCTATCCGAAATTACTCTATGAGTTATACACTCCAGTCCTAACTCAATTTCTAGCCACTTATAAATATGCCCCAAAAGTTTGGAGCTGCTCTGACCAATAAAAAACTGCTTCCTTTAGTATCTTTGATGATACTACTATAACTGGCACATCAGTCACTGGCAAGCCAGGGATGGTATAACAGCCAAATGCATAATAAAAGTTTTCGAGAGCAAACTTCAATATTGTAAAACCAAAACTTCAATAAGTTTCCAAAATTTGTAAAAAACTTTCAATCCTGATGATGCACAAAATGTGCGAAAACGTTTGAATTAACATTTTAAAATTCTTATATCTTCCAACCTTTATATTTGGCGTAGCCGGCAAAACTTTCACTCTTTTGAGACCATCAACTATGTTTAAATGTTTGTGTTTTCCCAAAATCGAAACACTCCCAGCGTCAAAACCGGGCAGCAAGGTCATGAACAGTGCTGAATTATCTCACCTGCCCACATGTATCCGCTAGAGGAGAGAATGTTGCCGGTATCCATACAGTGGAACATCACCACGAAGTCATGAGGCAGTTTGCCAAATTTGAAGTACCACTCCACCGCGCGCAGAGAGTGATCGCTCTCATCCACCGGCAACAACACCTACGCAAGCATGACCAAATAAATCCTACGAAGAGACATATCCCCTTCAAAGAACATGGCCACTCATAAAACATACAAGGAGAACATCGCGTTGCTTTTAAAGGAAGCACAAAGTTCCGGCTTCTTACTTATGGGTACAATTGCGATTCTGATTCATCAGCTGATTAGCTTGTTGTTAGGTGTTTTCCACAGTTCAGAAACACTTAGTTGCCATGCTTTCATAACCAAAAACAAAACAGTAAAGACTTTGAAGGCAAAAATAGGTATTACGAAGATGTGCTATGAAATTTTTACTTGCTCATCAAATCCAGAGTCAAATGGCGTCAAATTGATGTAACGCTCCCATTTGCTTTTTATTTGAACCCCTTCGAATAATGTCTTCTGAAAAATAGTCGAACAAAACATCACCAAAACACTCTAAAAAGTACTCACACATTTTTGGCTTGAAAAAGATTCGGAAAGTTGTATTTAGCCAACACTTGTAGCTAACTATCATACTAACTAACTCAGTAAGTATAGTATCAACGAATGGGGAAGATGAAACCTTGAAAATTTTTTGGCATAAACTTTACCTTCCTGTGCTGCTCTGGTCCGACGTCCAGCAGAGCCATGGGTACAGAGAGTCACGTCGCAATCCGAGGTAAAACTAAGACAAGTATAAATAGGATTGATATATGGAGTTAACTCAAAAAAATTGAATGTCACAGATCTTTCGTTATTTTTTCACTGAAATCGTAAATTACCCCGCCGAGATCGGCTGAACAATTAATCAAACACACAATCACTTGTAAATGGATTTGGTTTCAGAAGCAGAAAATATCTACAACAAACAGTTGCAATCAGACTTACAGAGAGTAGCAAAAAGTCAGGCAGACAGTGCGTACATATATCTCTAAACAAATTTATCGGATAAAGTCTTGAATTTTTGAAATAATTCTGACCTTGAGAATATGAAATGGCGTTTATAGCTTTTAAAAAACCTATCGGACAATGTATATAATTTCTGCAATAATTCGGGCCTTCAAATTTAAAGTAAATCGAATTAACTATTTGAAGTTTCTCGTTTGCGTGTTTGTCGGCATTTTTTTTTTGGCTCTGAAAACTTGCATGGCAAATCATTGTTAAATGAAAATTGTTTTTCAATTGAGCTCTTGAAATAAAGCAAAAATTTTCCAGCAACCATTTTGCATTGCTTTTTTTTCAGTTCAAAAGCACTTTTGAAAACTAGATAAAATTTTAAGGCCATTTCACTTATTCATTCAGACTTGTTTCAAAAATATAGAATGTCGTCCGATAAATTTGTTGAAAGCTATATAGTGGTGCAAAAATGCATTCAGTCGTCAAACTAAGCGTTTATTAACTTCGTTCAGATTTGTTGACCGAAAAATTTTGGGACTAGCTGTGGGTTAGTTGCTCTTTTCTGTTTGTCCGAACTTTTTGCAAATCTCAATAACTATAGTAACTTTCCACAGTGCTTATGATATTTATCGGACATCATAAAATTTCAAAAAACTCTGACCCTGAGGGATAGAAATGTCATTAAAGTAAGTCATTTGCTCTTTTTAATTATTTTTGTCTGTTCAAATTTTATACCACGCTATATTTTGAACCTGTTTGAGAGAGTTTTTGAAGCTAACAGAATCAAACTAATTTCGTTTATTCCAGAACGTACTGTTTCTCTAGAGAATAGCAAAAAGTTGGATGAAACAAAAAAAGAGCAAACGATCTATTTTAGACGACCTTTTTACATGCGACAGCTAATTTTTGAGACTGAAAGTATGTCTCAAATTCACCGAAAATTTCAATATTGCATGCAAATTTTTTCCAAATAGTGAGTTTTTCTGATTTAAGGTTTTTGCTCTTTTGCTCAACAAGAATTTTTGTCAATGTTTTTGCTCAACGGTAATTTTGGTGAGATCAAGAAATGGCTGTAAAAACATACCTGTTTTATGGTTTCGAGCAGGATTGTTGGACAGCGTTTTAATTCCTGTGAGTATTTCTGAACTTCGAGCTAAAACTAATTTGAAACAAAATAATTCTTTGAAGGCTGAGTTTGCTTTTTATCGGTGTTTTATTTGTTTTTGCCTTTAAACATTGCATGGCATATTGTTGTGAAAAGCAAATTGTTTTGAGACTGTGGTCTTTAAACAAATTGTCGGGGTTATTCCCATGATGAAGGGACTAACGATGGAAAACTTGCGATCAATCAAAACCGAAGTCATTATTACAGAATTATAGCAGCAAAGCTAAGTTTTGCTCTACACAAATTTCTGCAGGTATACAGAAAAAATTTTTTTTTTGTTTTTCATTCTTACCCTTGCAATAAGCAAGGGTATTGCTATCGGGTACTAGACGTTTTTGCCCTCTAACAACCTTGACCACAGAACTCATTGGACTCCTGGTGGTATCTTGGCTCATAGCCAATTCAAACTTCGTAGTTCTCTTGCACGCTTAGCCTGTTGGTAACGAATACGCCAAAAGTCTGGGGTGCAAAACTGACCAGGACCTGTTTTTTTTTCAAACGGTCCGGTTAAAAAAAAAGTTATTATTTGTCTGCCTATTATTTGTCTGCTTATATTTTTTGATTTAAATGCCACATCTAAAAACTGTTTATTTTAGCTGTATTAATTTTTTACTGCAGTTGTTTTAATCATTTAAAGTCCGGCCGAATCAAAACTTGTACGACCAATTTTTTTTTGCGCGTGTGTGCGCCTTGAGGGGAAAAGGGACTTAACATATTTTATAAGTTTAGATTTTTTGATTTTCTTTTCGGCATGAAGGGTTTCTGCTCAGGTTTCTTCGGCTTTGTTACCGCTTGATTATTATAAATGCAAATCGGGTCACCTTTTTTAGACTATCATCCGTCTGTTTGTTTTTGTCGGCTTAGTTCCCGTAGCCCAAAAATTTAGGTTTATTTCAAGTTGCTGTAAGCCCTATGGTTGAGACGCCAAAGCCCGGAAGTTCGATTCCAGTTGAGACCTACTTTTCTTGGTGCAAGCAATTTTGTTCCGAATATTTAGGGTTTTTGTGGCAATTTTTAGTGACTAAAACATTTTTTTGAATTTTTTGTCGTTTGATTTAATTCATAGTCATTGATATGTGTATCGCAAGTGGTGCAAAGCTCAGCTTATCCTCTGTATGAAAAAATGGTTTTAGGTTTTTCCAATTTCCTCACTCGACTTTCAATATGTGAAAATTATTGTATCTGCTTGTTTTCCATATATTCAAAATTAAAACTAATGGCCTGATTTTAGTCGCTTTCTTTAAAATTTTCGCAATTTCTTTGAAGTTTTATTTGAAATACTCAAGTCAGATTGTCTGAAAGTAACTGAAAACAATTTTTCCTTATTCGGTCACTCCGTGATGAGGGACGCAAAACGACACAATCTCTAAACAAACTGTCTGATAAATGATCATACCATCACTTGATTACCCGCGGATGTAGGTGCTCACTTTATGCTTGAAATATTTCTTGAGCACGGTCAAAACATACCTCGAGCACGTTAGAAAATTACCATTTGACCAACGGTCTTTCGGAGTCATTTTTTTTTGAAATGTCAACATATTTTTTAATATGCAAGACTCCAATTGCAAGCCAGTATTCAAAGAAATGGAAAATAGCTAAAAGTTCATCTCTCAAAGCATTTAAGTTGCAAATGACTATTATTATTTTATATTGATAAGAAAACATCATGAGATGTTACCAAAAAACTTAAACTGCAACGTTTAAATTTAGATGAACCATGTTTTTTGGAAGTCAATCATATCCGAATTTGGTCGAGTACGGTCAAAACATATTTTGCTTGTGTAGAGCTTGTTTGTTTTTGTCGAGCACAAACGAAACATATCTTGCTTGGGTCGAGCACGGTCAAACACATTTTTCCGTCGAGCACAGTCAAAATATATCTTCCTTCGGTAGCGCACGGTCGAGCACATTTGATTCAGTCAAGCACAGTCAAAACATACCGAGTTTTAGTCAAGCACAGTCAAAACAGCCAAAATTTGGTCAAAACGATGGAAACACCAATTTTGGTTTTGGTCGAGACGGCTGGAACATGAAATGAACATCTCGACCCGGGTACTGGTCAACTGAATATTGTTTTTTCAAGGCATTCGGTGACAGAAAAGAATTAACTATGAGAAACAAACCAATTTTTAGCTCTCTTTCGAGCAAGCAAGTTTCCGACCTACGTGCTAAAAATATATTTTATGCTGTACCTCCAAGCACTAAATGAATAGCTTTTTCCTCAAAATACCACTTACATCAGAGAAACGGTTCATATGGTTAAACAATTGAATCCCATTTCAAAGCTTGAGTTTTGATTGAAGCAGTAAATCTCGGCAATCCAAGCTGACTATTAAAGGTATTCCACTATACAAACGTTGACGACCAGGTTTCTTTGAAAAAAAAAGCATAAAATGAAAATTTTATACATATAAATGACTTGAACCAACAATTTGTAATTTGACTTTCGAAGAAAGTAAAGAAAAATATGCTTGATGCAGTTTTTTGAAGGGAGAGCGTGTAGGAATTGATCCGGAAATCATTGGATTGCCAAGCAAACAAGTTTGCACCAGAATAAAAAACTGATTGCATAGCTTCTGGATTGATACTTTTTCATAGATGCTGGGTTTCATACGAGAATGGTTCATGAGTTGCAAAATATTCGCACTCATTACCCTTCCAAAAGAAATTGAGACCTTCTAATAGGTCATAAAAATTCGACTCGAATTTTAGCATTTCACATTTTAATTTGACAAGATAAGGTTTGCTGTACGGGGAAAACTTCGACACCAATTATGTCATCAAAACATCCAAGGTTTTGCCCTGATATACCAATAGTCTTATTGTTCCGACTTTCGACGGATTATTCATGCTTGGGGTGATTTGTTTTTTTTTAGTCATTTTTCGCCGATCGAAATGATAGTTTTTAACAAGAATCTTTCATATAGCAAGAATATATTGAATTTTGGGCGTCTGAAAATTGCCAATTTGGCTATGCTGTGAACTAATTTATGCGCGCTCTGAAGAGTTTAATGTTAACGCCAAAAGTCTAATGCGATTTATTTTTGCGCAGCAAAATATCCCGCACAGCAAAATTATTCCAAAAAGAATTGAGGCAAGCTAATCAGTCGCACTTATAATATCGTCCAAAATATATGATTTTAAAATATATTCATTAGCAACAACTATTTGATACCGATTAAGGTGCAGTCGAAATTTTGCTTTGCCCTGATATACGAACAGTATTGGGCTCTTTTCCAGTCTCCCCCCTTTTGTTTTTTCTGAATTCCCTTAAATTAAAGTCTAATTAAATTGACTTTTGATGTTATAAACTGCATGAAAACGTGTCAGCGTGAAAAGGTGAGCAAGTTTGTACAATGCTTCTAATATGCAAATTGCCGTGTGAACAATTTTTGAACATCTTTATTTTGTAACTTTACGAGGGGGGTGTGAAACTGGAACAAAGCCCAGTATTGTTGTTCCGACTTGATTTGAAAAAATATTTTACCGGTGATCTTCTTTCGTAAAGCTATAGGGGTTCAAAGATTGCCATTTTGGCCAATTTGGGACAATTAATGCGCGATATATTTCGCGCTATTAAAGCGTAAGCGGGATTTACTACGTCTTAAAAATCGTTCCAAATTGGTTCAGGGAAGAATATATGCCATAATTGATTTGTTAATAGGAGCAAATTCTATCACTTTATACTTAATATGGTGTGTGGGGTGATGTTTTTACAAAAAATCTCAAATTTTTTAGAAAAAAATTTTAATTTTATTTTATTTCATTTAAATTTTCCATGTTATTACTGCTGCATAGACTTTAAAAGGCAGTCGGAACATTCAGGGCTTCGCCCTGATACGAGCAGTCTTGTTTTGTTTAGCGGCATTTGCTTGTGTATTGG